GGGAACAATTAAATAAATTGGCCTTGCACCTGATGATCCATGGAGGACCATCAACAAATACTGAAGGAGCTGGAAAATGTCACTGCAAGGTTCAGGCAGCACCAACTCTGTGAAGTCTTTCTTCGGCAGCTGGGGGAGCGTCCCCGATGCTGAATGCTCCCTGCTTGCACATCGCAGCCGGCCCGAGTCCCGGTGAGGGTTGAGCAATGCTGCTCTCCACTTTGGGACCCAGCAGGCACCAGCGTCCATGCTCAGCCCCATGGGATGCAGGAAACCACAAAACAACCTCTGACCCTGTGAGCAGGAGGCAGAGGTCTGCAGAGCAGATGTAACTTGTGGCAGCTAATGCCAAGCCAGGAGGAAACTTTCAACTGAAACCCCAGCAAAAAATAGGCACAAATCCAAAACTGAGGGGGCTTGGCTGTATAGCAAAGGTCCTGGAGCGAACTCACAGCCAGGATTTACATCCAGATGAGATGGAGCCAAAATACTTAGAGGGGAGGTGGGGTCCTCCCACCCTCAGCGGTCTGGAGCCAAAGGAGAGGGGCCAGGAAAACAGCACAAGGGCTGAAGTTGCACCAGCTGCAGCCCTGCAAGTCCACGGGGGTGAGCAGCATCTCCTGGTCAGGGAGTTACCCCCTCGCGCAAGGCTTTGGGTTTTGGAAACCTCGCAGAGCAGAGAGCCCGCAGTCCCAGAGCCACCCGGGGTCCCAGCTGTGAGGAGGGAGGGCAGAAGTCGCTTGGGAAAGAGGAAAAGGTCAGAGGGGCAGGTTTGGGGTGGGAGGGATGTGTTATTGTGAAGAGGGCATTTGTCTGCCCCGGAGGAAGGAAGAGGGAGGTTGGCCCTGCTCCTGAAGGCAGGTGCATGGCTGAATTTATCTGCAGGGAAGGAAGCAGGGAAGGAAGCAAGCCCGGAGCACTGCACGGCACCATCGGACCTCACGGGCGGTCACGGAAAGAGGCCCAACAGTGATGTGGCTTTTCATGGCTCAGCAGGACACAGCGGCGCTGGGGAGTGGGGGTGCGGTGACCCCCCCAACAGCTGCGGCGCCAGGCTGGACTCTCCCCAGCCACGCGGTGCCCTGCACGGCGTGCACGCCAGCGGCACTGCACCCCGGCAGCACTGCACCATCATCAGACAGGGAGGTGCTTGTTCCCAGGCAGGGTTTGAAGGCTCTGCGTGCCTGTGCAGACCACAAGACACAGCAAAAGGGAGCAGTGGGCTTGCTCTGGTTATTCCCAGAGAGGCAAAGGATGTGCCCAGAAAAGCTTGCCTCAGCTATGCAGCGTTGGGAACAGCCAGTTTCCCCTCCCGGCTCCTTCGAGCCATGCACAAACTCAGAGACAGGACTAGGAACTTCCTCAGCCACAGATCAGGGGGGACTGGAGTCTTGCCGTTTTCTAAGGGCACAGGGGAAAAAAAAAATAGGCGCAGATGAAAAAGCACTGGAGTCAGCATTTCAAGCAAGGGTAAGAACATCATCCTTCAGTCTTCACTTCCTTGATTGCTGTGACAGCCGCCTTTCACAAGCCAGGGTGTCTCCCTGAGGAGCAGGACAGGCTCCCAGGTTCCTG